CCTCGTCGATGTTTGATCCTCCTCGACGTCCTCCTCATCGTGCCTCATGCCTCGAGGGATGCGGGACCGCACCTCAACTGGGCCGCCTCGGCGAGGTCCAAGGCATGAGAGGAGGAGGAGGAGGAGGAGGAGGAGGAGGAGGAGGAGGAGGAGGAGGAGGAGGAGGAGGAGGAGGAGGAGGAGGAGGAGGAGGAGGAGGAGGAGGAGGAGGAGGAGGAGGAGGAGGGAGGAGGGGGTAGGAGGAGGAGTGAGACGAGGAGGAGGAGGAGGGAGGAGGAGGAGGAGGAGGACGGGGAGGAGGAGGAGGAGGAGGAGAGGAGGAGGAGGAGGAGTGAGGAGGGGAGGGGAGGAGGAGGAGGAGAGGAGGAGGAGGAGGAGGAGGAGTAGGAGCGAGGGTCCGAGGTTTCGAGGGGGGGAGGTAGGAGGAGGAGGAGGGAGGAGGGGAAGGAGGGGGAGGAGCACTGCTCCTCGGCCGGGGCGACAGGTTCGGTTTACCTACCTGGCTGGAGGAGGCCATGAGCAGGGGATCACGCAGTCTATCAGTCCAGCCTGCAGAACGAGGAGGCGAAGGAGGAGGACGAGGAGCGGGGGGGACATCATGTGGCGTCTGCGGGCTTCCATTCAGCGGCGCGTCTCCTGGAAACGAATCCGCTGTCCGCGATCCACCTGCCCGAGCTGCAGAGGGCGCGTCGAGGGGGGAGGTGAGAAGGGGCATGCCTTCTCAGAAGGCGGTAGGGCCTCTCAGAAGCCCCATGGCCTCCCGAGAAGCCGCCCGTGGCCCCGGAGAAGGTCCAGAAAGCTCTTCAGAAGGCCGGGGGCCTCCTGAGCCTTCCGAGCCCGCCCCCTCTGCCCCCCCCCTGCCCCCGGCGCGCCGCCCACTGACGTCCGGCGTTCGCCGCTCTGCGCTCCCAGGGAGTGAGTTCCTGCTGTTGGGCGCCGCCCCGCCGCGCGCCCACCCTCGGCGCGCCGCCTGCGATGGCCTCTGCGGCGCCGTGGCCGGTGGACAGCATCGAGCAGAGGAGGGACGGGACCCTGGCCGTGAAGTGGGCCGAGGCGTGCGCAGCCTTTGTCCCCTCCCAGGGGGGCTGCCGCCTTCACCACCTCCTCGCCATCCTCACTCCTTGTCCTTGTCCTCGTCCTCGTCCTCCTCCTCCTCCTCCTCCTCCTCCTTTTCCTCCTCCTCCCCCTCCGCCTCCTCGCCATCCTCGCCATCCTCGCCATTTTGGCCCAAAGCTCTGTTTAGAAACCCGATCGGGCTCTGAGGGGGCCGAGAGCCCCGCGGCACGGGCTCCATCGCCGAGCCCACTGGCCATCGGGTGGCCGCACTCTCTGCTCACGACCCCCACCTCACGAACTCAAAACGCTGTATATATCGGGGGCGGCAAAGAGGGGGGTGATGACTCGGGGGGGTGGATATCATGGCAGGGGCCATGATATTTCCCCAGATTTCATAGTGCCTCTTCTTCTTTCTTTATGTCCCTGGCCCCCCCCGCTGGGCCGCGCACATTCCGCCAGTCATGATTGCGAAGGCCTTACGGCCGGTGCCGCCGACCCTGAAGACGAAGCTGTCTGTGACGCCGTGAAGGCCGAAACGTCGTAATTATATGCTAGAAATGTAAATTTCCGATGAACAAGTAATGAGTGTGGCCTCTTGGGCCCTTCTTGGGGGTGCTCTTGGAGGGGGACGTCTTGGAGGCTTCTTGGACGGTCTTGGGGCTACCTTGGGCGTCTTCGGCCGATCTTTGGGCGACTCGGGGCACTCTTGGGCCGTCTCGGGGGCCATCTTGGGCATTCGGACCTCATTTGGAGTGTTTTCGAGGTTTCGAGGCCGCCCGAGGAAAAACGAATCTGCCCCCCCCCCACCCCCACCCCCACCCCCCCCAGGACCCCCCCCCTGGGGAAGTGATCAAAGGGAAGGGGCTTCCCTTCGAATCGACAACGGCATGACGGCAGGAGGGTACGGCCCAAAAAGAAAAAAGGGGGAAGGAAGAATTGGGGGCGGCGAGGAACGGACGAGGAAGCCCCTCGCACACGCCGACAGGGTCGGCGGATTT